ATTACATTTTTTGTTAAACTTTTTATGTTTAGGTACAAAATTCAAATAAAGTGAAATGTTTTTTTACTTAAACACCCTTCCTTATTTTATGCAGTTATGATTGACAGTTATTTTAGGAAACAAATATTTAAAGATTACATTTTTATTATTTTTGAATTTTTGAATTTTGAATGAGCAGGTTTGAGAGAGATTTATAGATATATTGACAGTTATTTTAGAAAACAAATATGTAATCTTTACATTTTTATTATATTTATTTTTTTGAATCAAACATATGTATTCTAACTGATAGTCTTCTTCAACCTTATTCTTCTTTAACGTCTATTTATTTTTCCGGCGGTGATTTTCTTTGAAAAATGAATTGAAAATACCAAACATTCATCGGATTGAAGGTGAGTTGTTAATAATTATGTTTCTTCCTTTTTCGGTAGTTTTTTTTTTGTTGGGATTTTTCCATGTTCGATTTTTGTTGTATAGTCGTTTATGGAGGAGTTCCAAACTGGTTTTCAATTCAAATGGGTGTAACTAGTTGGTCGATTATGGAGGAGTTTCAAACTGGTTTTCAATTCAAATGGGTGTAACTGGTTGGTCGATTATGGAGGAGTAAAAAACTGATTTTCTATTCAAATGGGTGTAATTGGTTGGTTGATTATGGAGGAGTAAAAAATTGGTTTTCTATTCAAATGGGTGTAACTGTTTGCATATTCAAAATTCATATTTGCATATTTGTTTGAATGGAATTCTAAATGGAATGGAATTTTGTTTTCTATTCAAAATTGGATGGAATGGTGTTGCTTGTATGCAAATATGATGTTGAAACTTTTATTATCAGATGTTCTATTCGTGCAACATTCAATTTCATATATAGTAGACTTTGTGAAAAATGGGAGGACTTGGGGAATTTGTCTGTCATCATGTCATATTTTATACCAGGTCACCCAAAATGTTGTTTGCAAAATGATGAAAACTTGCGTAATATGTTGATATAATGCGTTTGATAAATGTCAATCATGTTGAAGTCATGGTAACTGCGCAAGATAAAGAGGCCCGTGTGGTGGGTGATGATAATTTGATTGGAGATGTTCATATTTGTGATGATGGTTTGGAGTCTGATGATGATTTACTCCCTCGCTTCTGCTCACATACGGAAAAAGTATTGTTGACAGTTGGGTGGTCAAATGAAATAAGACATGTAGGCCAAAAGTTTGAAGGTGGTGTCACACATATTCGTAAAGCTCTGTGTAAATACTCAATTGAGGTTGGGTTCAAGTTTAATTACGTGAGGAATTGTAGGAATAGAGTTATTGCTGAGTGTGCATCAAAATATGATAAAGGCTGTGAATGGCATATCAATGCTACTATTCAGAATCTTAATGGTTTCTTTTACATACGAAAAATGAATAAAGAACACACATGTGGAGTAGCATTGCGTACCACAAATAACAAGAGATTGTCTTGCAATATGATTGCAGATTTGATTGTTGATAATGTCCGTGACCAGACCTCCACTCGTCCTGTGGATGTGGTTAGTTATTTCCTTACATCTTATGGTCTTGACTTATTCTATCACCAAGCATGGATGGGAGTGGAAAAAGAAAAGGGTATACTTTTTGGGGATCATACGTTGTCGTACAAACAGTTACGCTGGTATGTGGATACTGTGAATAATACAAACCCCGGGAGTCATATAATTTTGCATTGCGATGATGACACTGACCGCTTCCATAGATTGTTTGTGTCATTCAAGGCGTGTATCGAATGTTTCAATTATTGTCGTCCAATTTTATTCATTGATGGGACATTCATTAAAGGAAAGTACAAAGGAATCATTCTTTCGACAATTGGGAAGGATGGTAATCAGGGTATAAGTCTTTTAACTTTTTTTTCTAAATATTCGTGTTAATTTTGTATTTTCTTTGTAGTATTTGGTCATTTTAATTTTTCTTAGTGTTTGATTTTTTCATAGGTACTTAATGATCTGGTTTGCTGCTTTTTTTTCTTTTTTTTTTTCTGTTCTAATGTCTTAATAAAACATGGTGTTTATGCATATTTCTTTAATTGTTAATGTAACTGTATAATGTATATATTATGTGATTTTTAATTAGTGTAACTGTTACTCTTTATTGTAACAGTTTTAAAATAACAAATTGTTGTATATTTGTTATTATGCTATAAATTCGTAGGCTATTGTTTTAATATTTCACTTAACTATACACATTTACCTTTGTGTTACAGGATTATAGCCACTAGCGTTTGCAATCGTTGACTCGAAAAATGAGGCGAATTGGTTATGGTTCTTACAACAATGGCATGTGTTCATGTTTTCAACGGCAGATTAATGGGTTCCCTTGTTCTCATGCAGTAGCGGCGATACGAAAGAGTCAGAGAAATATGAATGAGTTCGTTGATTATTTTTATCATGTTAGTACATACAAGAAATCGTACGCTCAATATATACTCCCAATCCCGACTCTTGGTCATTCAGACTTCAATGTTGACGAATCTGAGATTTTGCCACCGTTAACAAAGAAGCAGCTTGACCAACCAAANATATACTCCCAATCCCGACTCTTGGTCATTCAGACTTCAATGTTGACGAATCTGAGATTTTGCCACCGTTAACAAAGAAGCAGCTTGACCAACCAAAAAAATTGAGAATTAGGTCAAGGGGAAAACTTATTAGACGAATTCGATGTGGTCGTTGTGGACGGTTAGATAGTCATAACAAGAAAACTTGTAAAGAACCCTTGTGATTGGATTACTATTTTTAATTAATAAATTTGTTTTTTGAATATTAATTCTTGTTCAATTGCTATTTTTTTTATTCATCATTCTATTGATAGGTTATAAGGCAGATGAGTGTAACTGTTTTAATCTTAATGGGTGTAACTGTTTCTGATCTTAATGGGTGTAACTGTTTTAATCTTAATGGGTGTAACTGTTTTGTATGGGTGTAACTGTTTTGATCTTAATGGATGTAACTGTTTTAATCTTAATAGGTGTAACTGTTTTGATCTTAATGGGTGTAACTGTTTTTATTGGGGTAACTATTTTTGGCCACTGCAAAATTACATGATTGAATAGTGGTTTTATATATCTTGCAACTGGTGCATTTTTATATATCAACTAACTAGCGCATTTTTATATATCTTGCAACACAGAAGCCTTGGACTAGGACNGCAACATAGAAGCCTTGGACTAGGACAAGCAGTCTGTTTCCAAGTTAAAGAAGCAAATCTGTACATGTTACACCAAACAGTTACATCAAACAGCAAGAGGAATGTAGTTAAGATTTTGAAGCAAACAATATTTATCATATGATTTTTGAAATTCCATATGATAAACAATATCCATTACATATACCATACAAGGTGTTCATTTCATGATCCTGAAAAATAGGCAACAACATATCAAATATGATTATTCATACAATTCCTTCAATTTCATCCTTTCATGGTAATCATTTAGTGTCCAAGAATTTGAATGGTTTAAGAATATTTCCAGCATTTCTGTCCGAAAATCTTTCACTTGTGCAACTGTAAACTTTTCTTGTATGTCTTCGTCCTTTGCAAGCTGTCTCATTACGTAGTAAACGAGCAGTCCACAATCGACCCTGCAATATAGGTTATGTTACTATCTTTTGTTTGAATATGTATGAATTAAAGCAACAAAGTAATACGTACGAATTGACCCTTTGTTGTACACTTTTCTCACAAGATGTCATTGGAAGAACATTGTCTGAGGAGTCTATGTCAATTCCATCGGCCGCTTGCATATCACTAATTTTCTGTTCAACATAATCTTTCTGCATTGTTTCAATGGTAGATGTTAGTGATGAATATGATATTGTAAAAATTAAAAAAAAAAAAATAAAAGGGTTTCAGTTGTTTTTTACCAATATTCTTGCATCCTCCAGCCACACGTCCCTTCTCACTTTTCTTGGTTTCATAGAATTGTAGTGTGTCTAAGATCCAGCATCAGTATCCAAGACTAAGACTGTCCAATGCCAAGGCTCCACAAGGTTGTTTTGACCATTGGAATTCATGGAAAATACAAGGAATTGACGATCTCTTCCCAAAATGAGGTTTTTGTCAATTTGTTCTTTGCATAAATCCGTGTTTTTTGTAATGAATGTCTACAAATATTCCATTTTATGAACAATTAAAATGAAATATAACGGTAGTGATATAAAAAAAATGACAATAAATGTTAATGTACCCAACATAGACTGTTGAAGAAGAAACAACGTTTTTTATACGTTGACTGTTCGTTGTTTGCATCAAGTTCATGCAGCATATCTCCCTAATAATCTATAATCTGTTACAATGCATAAAACAATGTCCAAAACAGAGTAAGGTTTTCCAAATGCAGCATATGTGGACTTAATATTTACACATACATACCAATGTTGTAGCATGGGCAAACAGTTTAGATATCATATAAACTATAAAGTGTAATACGTACACTATTGTACAGTTTACATCCTCCCATCAGTTTCAATGCGTCTTCAACATTTATGTAGCTTCTAATTGAAATACCAGACCAAATGGGTGTCCTACATGATCAATCATAGCACAATCATATAAGGTAAATTCATATTTTTTATAAAATTACAATGAGTAAATCCACAAATTTTAACGAAATAACTATAGCGTAATACATAAATATTATAATATATAATATACTTACGTAGGTCTTTCTGTATCATTGATTTGTTTTAAGTGATTGTAGATAGACGGATTCGATTTTTGACAAATCTTCCACAACCTTGCAATTTCCTTATCGTGTTTCTCTTTTTCTTTCGCTGCACTGATCTTTTTTGTTTCATTTGCAAGAGTGATAATTGAATGTGAAGCCTCAATGTTTCTTTTGTCCCTTTTCTTAATGCTATATTCGTAATCCTCATATCTTTTTCTCTTCCTTTCCTTAGTCTTCAGCTTTCGGACCATTGACGTTTGACCAATATCTACACTATCATTAGGCTTGGTGGCTTGCATCATCTAAGTGATGTTGTGGACTGTCAACTCATTTATTTGATCTATTAAATCTGCATCTTCAGCGTCTAAAATTTTGACATTCTCCTTTAATGACACATTTTCGGCCTCAATTGCGGCTTTTTCACTATGCATTATATGAACCAATGTCTCAAGCTGCTCGATTTTTGTGTCTCTATTCAATGGAATGTCTTGTTGCACTTCAGCCTGCTGCATCAAATCATCAAGAAAATATCAGTTAAGCAATATATAAACAATAACCAAAAATAATTACATACAAAACAGTTACACCATAGAGTTACATCATATTAGATAGTACAACAGTTATCCTAAAACAAACCATGAAGAATAAGAAACAGTTAATCAAATATGTACCAAAAGGATTTCACCACATAGCTAACTATCCAATATTTATCAAAATTGTTGATGCACACAGTTACTATTTTACACCAAATATAGATACACAAGAACCATCATGTAGATAGTTACATAAGCATAAGTCCCAAATAGGTGAATTTAATAGATAAGCAACTACACATAAACATTTTCACTAATCAGGCATAATACAGTTACACACAACAAGATTCAAAAAATTTTGCACCAAATTCTCATAGAGCTACAACAAGTAAAGGTATGAAGATTGAACAAAGATATGATGTTATAACAGTTAACTTTATATATACCTCGTGATGCACCATGTCAACAGTGTCTTGCATGCGTCTTTTCAACTCTTCATTCTCATTGGACAACTTGGCAATCTTTTCTTGGTTTAATTTATCCTTTAGCATCAACTCAGAAACAATCCTTTGAGCTTCATCTCTCTCTCTTCTAATGTTGTCCTTGCCAGTGTCATTCCAAAAATCATGTACTGTTGATTGGTTGTCCTTTTCTCTTGGTTGGGTAACATTCACTTCAACTAAGTCAACCACATGTCTCATTTCATTTGAGTATTCATATTTATCACTTGATGGCGTGCCAACACCATTGTCTCCTGTGTCAAGTTGTTCATTGTCATCTAACTCCATCTCCATTGTTTTTTTTGACATTTTCCTTGCATTCTTCTTCGATGAGATAAACATCTTTTCTTCCTTAGTTCTCTTCAATTTTTGCTTCATAATCTGCGTGTAAAATACTTTTAATCAATAAACAGTTACATAGTAAATTTCTTTAAAACATTTACAAGTTATATGGATAATTGTATATGAATTGATACTTACATCACTTGTCAGGATGTTTGACAAATTTTTTTGCTTGATTGCCTTATTCAGACTTGGTAAGTTCCATTTTAGGAACCGAGGGAACGGCCTTTCAATGCTGGGGGTCATCATGGAGGTGTGTTCACACAACCAGTACTTCAATATACAAGATTACGATAATCAGAACATATTGGGTAATAGGAAAGTAATTTCAATTCCCAAATTAACATATTACTTTTGTTAAAACACTAACCGGTATTAGGAGGACGCATCCATTGATAGCCGTTGGCGTTTCCTTCTTCTTCTTCAATGATGAAATCAAAGTATCAGTTATAGCTTCAGACCAATTGTATTTTCTACATGCCTCCAAATTTTCAATATATTGTACCAACCCCCAACTCATTGTGTTTCCCGTTACAAGAAAAAAAAGAGTTGCCAACAGATACATACATAGTAATCTAGCCAAGTCCTCATAACCAACCTCACTATCAATTTCAGACGCATGTCTCAGTTTGCTTCTTATCAATGTTGTTGTCAACCTCCAATCTTTTTTGAACCAGCGTTCTGTAAAGGGTGTAAACGATTTTACATATATTGTACAATCAATCTTTTCACACCCATCTTATATCCCAAATATCAAAGTCACATCACTAGGCCGCAGTCTCAGTTTTTTGTTGCTGATATTGAATCTTGAAGTATCTGAATTGAAACATAATAGTATTTGAATAATGTAGCTGTCACTTTTACGGCACCATATTTTGTCTATAGTTTTGTCAATGATACATTCAAAAAGCAACCAGAAGGGAGTTTTTTTCAACGCTGTTTTGTGATACACATTTAACTTAAGTTCTTCAATTGCCTTGATAATGGCAAGCATATTTGATCTGTATTGCAGCTTGTACCTTGCACCAGTGATGTCTAATTCACTTTGGTTGTCATCTACTTCAACATTTGTCTTTGATGCCTGCGACGCCTGATGTGGAATTTCTTTGATACCCCTTATAGCAGGTCTTTTTTTTGAAGCTTCTTTCTTCGCCATGACCTATTTAATCCATCAACTATAATGGGTTATCAAACAATAATAAATGTTGTACCTATATAAACATAACCATTATTCCACACATTGGTAACTGTTTTAATTCGTCAGAGTGGGATTCATTCAATTTTTTAATGAACATTGTAATTTAATTGCTTATAATAACTATTTTTACTTAAAAGCAGAGCTTGTTACGACCCCAAGAGCTTTCAGATACAAAGATCTCAAGTCAATCACTGTTTACGGAATCTGAGTCAATTTGGACTTCATATGCAGTCAAAATATATCAGGAGAATAGTTTCAAAACACATTTAAACTCATTAATTTTTGAATATGCACTGTCTAAATGTGAAACTCTAATAGTTACCTCAATCAATTACATACATGTTTTTAGTTAATGGAGAAGAATAGTTACGCAACACAATAAAACCCAAAAAATAGAAGAAAACCCATCAATTTATGTCTGACTAGCTAATGCATCAGCTACACAAATTGATCCCCTATAACCATGTTGTAGATAAAAGGCAATCTTGCAAAGTAGTTGCACAATTTGATCAAGCATACCCATATAAGGCCAAGAACATCCCACCTTAACTCTCACAGTATTCACCAGAATCAGAGAATTTGAGTCAATTTGGACGCCATATCCAGTCAAAAAATATCATAAGAATAGTTTCGAAACACATTTAAACCTATTAATTTTTGAATATGCACTGTCTAAATGTGAAGCTCAAATAGTTACTTCAATCAGTTATGAACCTGTTTTTAGTAAACTAAATAGTTGATGGATCAATAAAATCTCCAATGACATACTTGTAAGAATTAATTCCTTAAAATCAGGAAAATAGTAATGCAACACAGTCAAACCCATTAAATTTTGATTTAAAATAGTATATATTTGAAAGACAAATAGTTACAAAACTATGTGAGTTTTAAAAAACAAGTATAAATAAAGTTTTGATAATGACAGACTTGCAAGAATTCAATCCTTAACATCAGGAGAATAGTTACGGAGCATAGTTAAACCCATTAAAGTTTTGAATATGAACTATATACATTCGAATCTCAAATAGTTATTTAAAACAGTTACATAACAATTTTCATATAATTTCATACAAATATGCTAAAACAAATCTGCAAATTCGTAATATAATTTCACATAATTAGGGTTTTACGATTTTGTAATTTTTCTGAATCAACTTACACAGTTTATGAACAAAAAAAAAACTAACTAATCAATTAATGAAATCCCCCCCCCAAAAAAAAAAAATAGAATGTCACCTCAATTTTTTGGTGAAGAAGTGCCGAAGAAGATGAACTGCTTCTGGACGATGTCGGCGAAGATGAACAGTCGAAGTACTCTTTGGTCGTTCAATATTCAACAGGATGCTGAAGGATGATGTTGCCGAAGAATGAGGATGCCGAAGATTATGGATGCCGAAGATTGAGGATGCCGAATTTGAAACTATTTTGATAAACTAAATCCATTGTTTAAACCTCCCATTAAATGCTTATACCCATAATATACGGAGGAATACAAAAGGTTTTATACGTTTTTCATTGACTAACGAATGACAATACCGGTATTTTCATAAAATATGCACTTTACCCTAAATAAGTTTTTGAGTTATATTTTAACCTAAATAAGTCTAAAAAATTGTACCGACTTCCAAATTCCCCAAAAAGAAAAGCCCATCGCAAAACCCATCTTTAGCAAGAAGACACAATTCTAGAAGGACATGTCATCCCTTCTAAAAAGCCACATGGCACCTAGAAGGACGAGCATTTAATGGCCAAATATTTTTTAAATATTTACTGATAACTCAGTTGAAAATTACAATAATTATTAGTGTATAAATAGAAGACCAATACGTTGACTCAATAAATAATTGGATATTCTATACTTGCCTTCTTGTTCTTTTCGTAAGTAATACAAAATCAAGGAGCAAGAGCTTTAATAACATTTTTAATATTTTTTTATTTAAAATTTTAAGTAAAAAAAATAAAATTTATTTTATCATCTGATCACATTTATTTTGCCTAATTTTATATTTTAAGCAATTTTTAAAGTGATGTTTGATTTCCAATTTTTCTTTTTTCCTTTTTCTTTGCCTAATTTCATTCCATTTCTCATAGTCTAATTGCATAAATGGATTAATTTTGTAAAAATAGTAATGACACATTGTTTTTGAAGTTATTTGTTCAAATTAGACTACAAATTGAATCTTTTGATGGACTTTCAAAGTTTTTTGGAAATTAGATTATGTTATTTGTTTGTATATTCATAGAAATGGAAATAAATGTTTGAATCACAAATACAAAGTGAAATAAAAAAAAAACTTGCACAAATACAAATTAACATTGTAATAGTTTTGTAATAAAATAATAAAAATCTAAAGGACAAACGAGGGATTACAACAAACTTAGGATTTTGAATAAATGTTGTTAGAGAGTAGAAATTTAAGTTTTTTCAAGAGAAAAACCAAACCTTATTTATGATGGTCGATAAACTTTATCGTACTTTTGAATATTAAGTAATGTCTATAGCTTATTGAATTTTAAAGGATACCTTTGCTCCAAAGAGTTAAAATGTCCATATATAGTGACATATAGATAGTGACAAAATTAAATGTTTTAATATTGATTCGATCTATTTAATATTATATATATGTTATTTTAAAAAAGAATTAACATTATATGTCAATAAAAATGTTAATATTCATACGATCCACCCGCAAGTAAAAGAACACATCACGAACTAGTAATATGGTACATTAATTACTAGGCAAAATCTTATATTTTTTCGTATTTGCTGGCATAGAAGTATGTTCACCCATCATCAAGTGCTGGCTACAACCAACACCACCACTTTGAGCAAGGGCAATCCAAGTCATTTTGGGGCTTAAAAGTGAAAATAATAAATGAGATTTTTGTAAAAATTTTAATATTAAAAATAAATTTATTTTTTATTTTAAAAA